CGGTAGCACCAGTTCCCGAGGAGCTGCGAAAGGGGGGATTTCACTTGATGAAGTCACTTCAGTTCACTGCTGATGCCTCAGAAAGGAAGGAGCCTCGTGGAGCACAGCAATGAAGTCTGAACACAGAGGGGAGAGGAGGGCACTGGCCACGGGAAGCAAGGAGCTGGCACTGGGGTGCAGACAGGGAGACAGGGAGCTGCCATCTCCCGTGACATGGAAAACGTGGGGCATCCATTCCCATCCACACAGGGGGGTACAAGCAAGGAGAGAAGCTGCTGCTCCATCGTTATCCACGTTTATATCATGCCAGAAGCTTGTGAGTGGCAAAGATACCCCAGAGCAGTCTTACACGAGGTGCAGTGCACAGGTGAGGTACAGAACCACAGCGAGGACAGGCTCTGGGGGCTCCTCTGTAGAGTACGGGGCTGAGCTGTGGGGTGTCCTGCCAGGAGACAAGTGCCCTGCCTGGGGAGCTGAAGAGTCCCACGCGGTTGAAGAGCACATCCCCAATGGCAGAAGCAGGGGTTGGCTGTTTCTGGGCCATGGAGCAGTGAGAAGCGAAAACCAAAGTGAAACAGGGAAAGGGCTTAGGACTTACCCAGTGAGGATGAGCAGTGAGTGGGAACCTTGATTGATCCATGAGCTGCAAATCAGGAATTACCTGGAATTTGCCACTGACTCCACTGTACACAGCGGCCGCCCTGGACACTGCAGCACGGCCAGTGCAGAGCTCAGGCCCATGGACTGCAAGCAGAAGTTCCCAGTGCTGAGCAGAATCATCTCCAAGCGCTAGGAGCAGAGCCCAGGAGCAGGGAGCATCTCCTTACACCCCTGGGAATGGAACCAGAGCTGTGGGCACTGTGGCTTCCCCCTGCAGGGACCCCTTTCGCAGGAGGGGGCATAGAGCCTGATCCAAAGTCCTGCTGTAAAGAAGCCATTCCCCGCCCGGAGAAGCATCCCACCAGGAATCCAAGGCCATCACAGCTGTCCCGTCCCGCGAGGCACAAGATCCCGTCCCATTTGTTGTCACCAGTATCAAGGAATTCAGTGCCAGGTCTGCAGAGAGATCCCATGACATGGGACTAACGCTCACTGGTGGCACTGCAGCTTCACTCGCTCCTGACCTGAGGCGCCCACAGCCACTTTGAGAACGCTTCCCAAGCACACACAGCCCTGCATGTGCTGGCAATAGCCTCCCATGCAGAAATCACAGACCAGCAAAGGCAAGCGTATGCAACAGGTTCCTCGTCTTTCACCTCTATAGCCTGTAAAGGATCAGAACCCCTTGTTATTTGGATCATAGATCTGAGAATGGAAGCAGGAGGGAACTCAGACAGACGGATATAATCCAACCCCTGCCTACAGAGGCAGGATCCTCACCTTTCTGCCAAACATTGTCACTTCTGCACCCTGCTTACAAACCCACGCTCTGTTACTGCCCTGCCTTTAGCATTAGACAGGAAAAAGGTGTTTGTCTAATACGGAATTCATTCCATGAGTTTGCTTCACCATGGACATGGCCAGAGCCTCTTTTGCCACAGCCTCTCATGCATACAGAGACTGAAGTCTCTGCCTCCTCCCCCAGCACAGCCTCCTCTCTAGGACAGATTAACCTCAGTTCTTTCAACCTTCCTAAATGGGACGGTTTACCTTTGTAAATCTATGCCCCAGGAAGGAGAATAGCTGTCATACAAAGGCAAACCAGGATACAAGGTAAGAGGCACAATCTCCTAAATTCATGCTTTACATACAATGGCCAAACCAGGCTGATTAAACCCAAAAGAGAACCCATTTACAAGAGTCATTTATCACCAAGCCTATTACTCCATAGCAGACGCTGTTCCTAGATGAGGGGCTGGTTTATGAAGCCAGTTTTGTCAGGAAGGATGCTTGTGTTTCCTATTTGATTTTGAGAAATTGAACACTTAATAGCAGACATTTTTCTTGGCAGCACAAAGAATCATTTAAATGCAAGACAAATACAAGCAGCTCTCAAGGCAGGGTTGCTCCTCAAATCCCCTCCAGTCCCAGCTTCCCAGCATGGGACCATTGCTCCTGCATTTGGGTAGCTCAAACTCCCAGTACCCTCCTTGCAAGGCAGTCAGTGATTTCATTTGCACAGTACCAAAAGGAGAGTAGAATTACCTACCTGAGGGTCTGTGGTGTTGACAGAGCAAGAATTAGGGAAGAGAGCTATGGAATAAGCACTGTTCCAGCACCAGGAACAAATGGACTTTGATTCCTTTCTTCTTTTTCTCCTCCCTTTTAAATAAATCAGGAAATTACTTTTGCAACTGCTGCTCCTCAGTCCTCATCCTTCATTGCAGAGGACAGTGTCATTACCCAGGCTATGAAGCATCTCAGCCAGTGTCATTACCCAGGCTATGAAGCATCTCAGCCAGTGTCAGCCTTCACAACAAGTCACCAGTGTCTTTATTGTCAATATTATCTATAATTCCTCTCATTGCCACGCAGCACTTATTCAAACCTGTGAAAAGAAGCACAGCAAATGGAGACCCAGAACCCACCAGATCATTCATAACAAGGAAAGATCATCATGATGGCATGTGCAACAGCCTTGCATCAAAGGTGAACCCAAAAAGAACCCTCCAGCACAGTTCTAGTTTCCAAATCAGCAAACACACTTATGGAAGCCCAAGTGGTGCAGCTCACAGCCATCACACCCCCAGACAGGTAGGATACACAGCTAGGCTTAAACTGGCCATTTACACAAGCTGGTTTCCAGGTTGCACGTGTACCTGCAGTGATTTTGCACAGAGAACAAACCTCTACCTAACGCTGAAGCATTAAAGTTGTGTTGCAAATAACCAGCCCCTGGTCAAAGCTTCCCGAGAGTGTTCCAAGAGGAGTCACAGGTTGCAGCCCTCACCTTGCTATTGGAAGTCTCTTGTGACTGTTATTGCCTTTAAATATTGAATGTCTAAAGGGGAAGCGAGGGTACATTTTTCATAAGAACCTGATGGACCAGGAGGTGAGGAAACTTCTCATCAAATATTGAGAGATGTTTCCCAGCCAACCAGCAGCAGATCTGCAATGACTTTAACCCCCCCTTGCTCTCCCTGTGCTAGAAGATCAGTGAATCTCCATCTGTCCTGCTAACAAAGCAGGGCCCTGATGCATGTCCCTCTCCTCTGCAGGAACCGTGCTGTTTGCAGTAAGGGCCCACACGTTATGATTACCCCCCCAGCTCTTGCACCAGTATGGAAATCAAGGCCCATGCTGCATGCCAGCAGGGTAGCTTGAAATCTGCATTCCAGTCCTCATTACATTTACACACTGACTTGCAAAACAGTATCTTCTCTTGTGACAAGCAGAGTCCAGCCTTATCCTTAACAGGCTGTTCTAAGAAAGAGAAACTCACACTCCCGAAGGACACACGTTCCTGTGGATGAACATTCAAGTAGACAGGCTACAAGGCAACCGAGTGCTTAAGCAGTCACTTTGAACAGTGATATACAACAGCAAGGAAGGTTTTGGCCTTTATTTGAAGGCTTTGAACAGTTACAGTAAGAATTGTCATTGCAAACAAGGAGATTTAAAAAAACGGACAATAAAAAGTTAAAAAACCATCCAGGAGTCCAGCTGCAAGACATGCTGGCACAGAGGAGATGTGAGCTTCGCTGCTTCCATTCCCATCGCTTTGCAGATCTCTGATAGAACTAAGATACTAAGAAAGGCTGGATGCTATTGGAATTGTTCCTGCAAGTGAGCATTTAACAGCAGATACTGTACCAGTGTCACAGAGTAGCTATGTTACATCTATGGGTTTGAGTTGGGTTTGTTGCTGTTATTTTCTTCCCAAAAGGGACATTAAAAAAAAGATTATGCCAAAGTATCTATAATGTAGTCAGAAGCCGACTACATAAGTTTGCCCCCTTCTATTTATAACTCATCTTGGTAGCAGAGACAGGATGTTAAGCAACTGGAAATCTTAGCAGCCTTTGACTTACAATCTTGAGTTTCAATTTCATTCCACAACCCACATCCAATAGCTCCACACATTCAATAGTCTCACAGGGCTATTCTGACAGCACTGTTTCTTACTCAACATGCTCTTAGCATAAAAGGGTACCTGCTTGCTCTGCTAGCAGAGCTCAAAATCCACCTGATGCTGCCCATCTGACCACCTGGGTGCTCTGCAGTTCCACACGTGCAGGCTTCTTAGAGAGACCTGAAGCACCAAGTCCCAGCACACAACTGGACTGCAGAAGTAGACACCCAAGAAGTCACCTTCAAATCCAGGCACATACTATTTGCCATCTTTTGCTCTCAGCAGCTGGAATGATGGAGTATTTAGAGTTGAAAAAACATGCTTCCAACCTCAAAGCAAGTCAGTAATGGTAATGAAGATTTTATGTGCATCAAAATCCCCTTTCTACATCTGCACACCCTGGAGTCCAACACCAGTTTCACAACAGCAGTGAGCAATGCCAGCAGTGCCTGCTCTGCAGAACACAGCGTCCACCAAGCAGGGGCAGGAAGGAGCCTGCTGGGAACTTCCAGCTCCAGGTTAGATGCATCACATAAGCACTTCTCTGAAGACGCTGCTCTGCCCACACAAATGGGGCAGTTACATTTGGGCTCTACCAAACACACTTCAAATGAAGCACCAAGTCTGCAGTTGAGCTGCTCAGAGACTGGCGACAGACCCAACTCACAGCTTGTTTAAGTAACAACCAGTTTTAAAACACTTTAAACAGATGTAAAGTCACGTTAGGAGAAGGAAGCCAACAACACACTCACGTTTCATCCGCTGCAGGAGGAATAAGGCAAAAAAACCAAGAATTCAAGCACTGGTTTCCCCCAGCAGACTCCAAAGAAGGTTTCAACATCACTGCTACTCCAGCGAGCACCAGCTCTAACTGGGACTGGAGAATGAAAGCTGATACTCCAGGGCCTGCAGGCTTCCTCCTGAAAACTCACAAACTCCAGCTTCGCCTAATGGGATCTGAAAGCACGAGAGACTCCAGCAGACGTGACACTCTTGAAATACAGAACTTTATTTAGAAACTGCTTAAAGTAGAAAAACCCTGTCAAGAAAAATCCAAGTCAGATACGGTTTCTCAGTAAAACGGAGCTTTAGGGCAACCAAAGTTTCAAAGGCCACAGAGAAATAGCACCACTGCAGTTTTAAACAATGGCTAGTTACTTGCATTTTTTGGCATTCACTGAATTTGGGTTTTTCTCTGAATTTCACGAAGATTCATGCACTACACAACAATTACCATAAGATGCTCTCCTACACACATTTTAGGACAAGCTACCACCAGAAACAAATGAGTACAAGCACAACAGGACTGATCAATCTCAGTAGTGAAGGGGGATCAGAAGTCTTGCAGGATCTTGCCAAACACAACAGTAATGAGGGGCATGGTAGCAAAAAAGGACAGGTAAGGAAAGGACTTTAAATATTAATATTTAAGTTAGTCTCAGTACTGTATTTTCTGCAATAACATTAGCTCTGTTAGCCAGCACCTCTTAGTTTTTACCCCAGAAGACTACTGAACTGGCAAGTAGTATCAGATATGCCCTGGCTTGAAAGGGGGGGAAGAAAAAGGACAGAAAAGTCATCATCCTCATGTGCTCAATTCACTTTCATTCTAAACTAACTGCACAGCACAAGCCCCGTTACAACTGCTGGATTTGCTCAGCATTCCTTGGGATGGGAAAGGCAAAAGAACAAGTGAGAGATCAAAAAGTGTATCAACAAAAATGAAAAGCAACAGGACAAATAGAACCAAGAGCCAGGAAGGAAAAGGTTACTTCTGAAGAACATTTCAGCCAGTAGGACTGGATGCCCTTTGCTTGTTTTGCTGTTATTTCTTACAGAAAACACAGTACATTTTAGCAAGGTCATTAGCCACGATGCCACAGAAAAAGGCTTTAGCACTCTTCAAGGTAATTTATGTGTCTCAGCTGTTCATACTCCCTCTAATCTTGTGACAGGCAACGTTGAGGCCTATTCCATCGAGAACTAATCACTTAGTAAGCAGCTTTCCATAGGAATGGAGTTTTGTTTTCATAGCCCCTTTTGAGCACTTGCTGACAAGGCGGGATTGCCACGCAAGGCCTCTCAGCCAGCAGTGAGTGGAGTTAACGTCTACCCCAGTATGAAGCACATAAAATCTCCTGTCACATTACTTCAATTTGGCATATGGAGGCATATTTTAAATACTCTTAAGGCATTTTATAATAATTTCTGTGCTGCATTTTCACATTAACTCAATCTTACCATGAGTCAGTCTTTAATTTCTCTACTACACACCACCTTAGATACAAAGAGTCTTCCCACAAACCAGTGTTTTACCAGCAAACCTTTCTGCAACAAGTTCCAAATGTTCAGCCTCTTGCTCCCTAAATATACCATTTCAATGTGAATACTGCTCTGCTACCAAGTGAGAAAGAGCTCCTAACTCAAACCCGCTGTAAAAAGTGAGACTTCTGCAAAGTGCACTTTAAGAAGAGGTACTTTTTTGCTTATGAAAAGAAACCAGTGAGTCCTCTAAGAATAAAGTGGAGTATTTTACAGTTAAGCACATGATCTGGGGCAAAGAATTCTGATGTTGCTGCTCTGCTGGTACAGTATGTGGTCTGTTAATACTCTTCTTGTTCCTCCTGTGGTGCTCCTTCGTCAGGTATCACAAAGCCTTCCTGAAGGGGAAGAAAAGAAGGGCTTTAATGAAAATCTGCTATCAAACCAGTTCCTTGCTATTCTGTATGCTCTTCTTTTTTAACTTTTACCGGGAACAAATAGCCCTTAAGTCACCATTTACAGTGCCAAGACACATTACCATGAGAGTTATTCTCCTGATCTTTGATCTATTTGCTACATACTCTTCAGGAAAGGCTAACCTTCTTCGCTGCCTGACTACAGTTATGTTATCTGATCCTTAATCAGAGGCAATAGCTAGGCCATAAACCTAAAGACAAAAATGAAAAAGCAGAAATAGAGGGAGCCCTAGAAAGCAAACCAGCTCCCGGTTACACAGGGAGGGAGGAACTATGCAATGCAATTTATACCAGATCACTTACATCTGTGGCATAAAGAATTTCCACAATCCTCTGCAACACTGGATCATTCTCCCCTTCATTCTCCTGGCAGATTAACTCAATGTTCCTCAATTTCCCAAAGTAGAAGTCTCTCTCCTTCTCCAGATCTTCAACAGTGAGTTTCAATACATTGATCTGCCAAAAGACATCAATAATAATTCATCCACCAAAGACAGAATTCAGCAGGATCTATGTTGAAGGCAGGGTCCCCATAGTTCTCAGGAGGGTGCTAACATGCAAAGCACTTCACAAGTAACCAAGATGGGGGGAAGGGGGACTGCAGGAGGAGGAGAAGGTCTGTTTCCCAAATTGTAATATCACTGCCACAACAAACACCCAGTCCAACGCACACAATACCACTTAGAAAGTGTAAAGGCTTAGGCCATGAAACAGGTAAAGCACTAGCTGCCTGCAGTCATCTTTGCTAACGTTTTCTTTCAAGACAACTCTAATGCTGATGGCAGTTTTAGCTGTATTACATTCAGCATTTCAGTGAAGTAGCAGCTGCTTAGAGCTCGGCTGGAATGCTGTGGTAGCTGCAACACAGCTGTGGAAATACTTGAAACAATGCTATGTGTGACACGGCACAGGGTTTGAATGTCTGGTACTCATGTGCTGCAGGAGGGGGCTTGCTCCTACCGGAGAGCAAGTCCATTATAACGGAGGCTTTTAAGTGATTTTAAATGAGATTCAGGTAATTTTATTCCATCTGCCTGACCCAGCCATTTCATGCTATTAAAGAATAAATCTGCAGATAAAACTAGTAACAGAGGGCTGGTTTGGTCACACACCTGCTCAATCAATCCTGCCGACTCACTGTCTCCCGCAGCCTTTTTGACCATCCCAGTCCCAGCTTTGGGAGTTGCTGCAGTTCTCTGTGCAACGATGGGCCTCTGTGGGGCTGCAAGATTAACTCAGGGTTAGTTCCTCTCAGAACACCTTTCTTCCTTCTAATACAGGTATTATTCCCCTTCCAACATGCTCAGGCCCGTAAGAGTTTGAAGATATGTTCCTTCCTTCTGCTTGACTCCATGTGACATCTCCATTTTTATTTGGTTTTGGTATATGTTGGCACCAACCTTTGCCCTTTTTAAAAGAGAAGATTGTCTTCTGTAGTTTCCAGATAACCAGGCACTACAGAGTGACTCAGTGTTTGCAGCATAACACCTCTAGAGATGCAAACTACTCTCATCTCATACACTGATTTTAAATAGCAACTCGGCTTATTATCCCCAGAGGTTTTAATGATCTAGATAATTTTGTAACTATTTTCTCTACCTGCACAGCCGGAGCCGAGAGATTTCTTGGGTTTGTTCACAACTGGAGCAACAAAGTTTGGTGCTACCGTCTCTTGGCCTTGCCGAGCCGCCACGGGATCATACTCCTTCCCGTCATAGTTCGCATCAAAAAACTTCTTGAACCACTGAACAAATTCAAAGTTGTCCTGAAATTTTCCTTTCACCAGTTTGTCCACGGGAATTATCTGGAGGGGAAAAAAAGTCAAAGTCATGTTAAGGGTAAAAAAACCTCTCCCTTGTTGTAAAATGAGTGCACTCAGAAGACCGCAAATGTCATTCTTTGTTCGGTGTAGAGAAACTCCTCCTTGGTAACAACTGTATGGCCCAGAGCAGGCCTTCTGCTGGTCACTGGGATTAAAAACAAATCCTGCTTTCACTGTGAGGAGCCAAATAACTTTAAAGGCTCCCACTACACCACGTTTCAACATGAAACTTCTTTCTGTAAATTTGAACTCAGCCAGCGCTTGGTGTCGTGAACCCGAACCGCGGAGCAGAGGCAGCATCACTGTGAGACCTAAACACCACCTTTCAGTAGGTTACGGTTACAGCTCCTCTGGAATGAGGAGCAGAGCTTTATTAAACAGATGCAGCAAATTGTGAAGCCTTGTCTGTGAGGCCATGAGCTGAGAGTCTGTAGCCTGACAGGAGCCAGAAGCCACTACCAGTACATCACCACTCGGTATGTGAAGGCACCACAGACTGTCCAGTTCCAGGCATACAGCACAAGCTGCTGCCCTCAAGCTCAGCACCAATCGAGTTCGTGCTGAAGCCACCAGCCAACACAGAGTAAGATGTCTTTTAAGAGAAGAAAGAAGACTTAACACAGAGATGCTCTGCACCATACCTGCTGTCAGTAACTATTACCTACATAAATCACCCTTCCATAAGCACAACTATCATTCAACCTGAAATGATTAATTTCAGATCTCATTTTCACTAGCTTCAAATTCCCTCCAGGTATTAAAATATATATTTCAAAGATGTGTAGATGTGGTACTTAGAGACATGCTTAATGGTGGCCTTGGCAGTGCTGGGTTAACGGCTGGACTCGATCTTAAAGGTCTTTTCCAACCCAAACCATTCTATATGCTTGAAAAGAAGAATTTGAAATCCTCAGGACTATCAAACCAGCAGGTTATAGGAACATACCAAAACAGAGATGGTTCAAATAGAAAGCTCAAGTAAACCTTATCACATAGAAATGTCAGGATCTGCATGGAAAAATTCATCTCAGCATTAAGACCTGGAAACCTGAGCTCAGCTGGGGTAAAGCAGGTAGTGACCTATAACAAGTGAGGGCCCCAGTGCAAACCAAGTTTTGAGATCTACAAACCAAAAGTAAACTCAGCTCCCAGATTTACTCAGCTCTAAATTTGAAAGCACATTCCATCTACTTTGCCATGAAGAGCACAGGGAATCAGTTATAACCCAGCTTACTTTGTCAACACCCATTCGTTTGAAACCTGCTTGTAGAACCTTGAAGTTCTGGATATACTCATGTTCCAGTTTTGCTTGAAACTTCACTTTCTTGAGCGCTACAGACCCTGGGAAGAGCATGTCCATGAACTGGCAGTATGCAGCACCTGCCAAGAGAAAGAGAACACAAACCCTGGGATGAATCAAGGCAACCCACTAGTGTAAAGTCACCTCTGTCAGATCAGCAAACCAACCTGACCCATCCCTCAGCGGCAACAAAAGGGAGGAAACAGGAACCTTCAGTCTCCTGTTTTGGGGCAGCCTGGCTGTAAATAAGCTTAAGCAAGCTGCAGAACCAAGCTCTTGGTCTCATGCCTTGAGCTCTTGGGAACAAGAGCAACCCTGCTCCAAGAATTCCAAGAGAGGAAACAAATATCCAGTGAGTCACCCAACTTTCCTTTCTTCACAGATATCAGTATGGACCAGAGCTGCTACACGTGTCTCGCTGGCCTGTAATCACCTCTTATCAACACTAATAGAGCTGAACCAGAAAAAGCACTATTCTAAACACTACATTTCATCATTATTGAAACTGTGATACATTTAGTGCCTACAAACGGAACCTGCACACAACTCAAGGTGCCCTCCAAGGCAAGAGGCCAAATTAAGATGGACTATATTTAAATCCAGCCTTGAAGAACTGAAATAACACAGTTTCTATTAATTTTAAATCTCTCATGACCTTCACTTCAGCTCTTACTGTAACAAGAGCAAACAAAGGATTCAGCTCAGGCACACAGCAAAGGATCACCTCCAAAAAGATTCCTTCATAGAAGATACACACCCAACAAAAAAAGATATTTAACTTTTACCCTCACTCTGCAGTGACAACATGTAACTGTGTGCCCCAAAACCTCAAACACAACGTTCTGAGCACTGCTACCCTCGCACCACCAATGAATTAAGTGCACACAGAGAGTAATGGGAACCTTGACCTCAAACTCAAATGGCTACACAACATTTTCCGAGCTATGTAAAGGCCATGAAGTAAGATGCCACGATGTTGCTCTGAACGACTCCATTCATCTCAACCACAGAGTCCTGTTTTGTTCACTTCCTACCAAGATATAATAAATAAAATCTTGCTGGTTTTATCCATGCTGTTTGATCTCCCCTGGCTTTCAGTTCACTTGCTGAAGAACTCCAACACCCAGCTCAAAACTAGGTCACTTGCCAGAAATCAGGGGTTTGCTCACCATCGGTAGTCAGAGTGGTAAGTGTGACAAAAACAGAGGGATCACAGCAGAGGCCAAAGGTTGTCTTTTGCCCATTTATGCAAGCTCAGTTTGCTGCTGTCACCTCTGCCCTTGCCAAAGGCAGCAGAGCCAGCCTGGGAGCTCCATTCACACAACTATGACCAACAGTGGAAGCCACTTCTATGCCTGAAGAAGCATGAGGCATTTTGCAGACACAGGGACATCACTCAGCACACACCACATCAACAGCTCTCAGGCTTATCCTGAAAACAGGTGAGCTGAAATACTGCACAGCCAGTATAAACCATCCTCACAGCAAGACAGAGCACTCACAGCATGCAAGGCTCACACCAACCCTAAGCACTTTCCCAGCTGTATAAATCAACACTGCACAAAACAGGTTTTTAACCCGCCCGTCTGAAAGCAGACAGTAAGAGAATGCTTATCACTTTCCTCACTTAAGTGCTTGTAGAGCTTTAGTGCCTTCTCTTACAGTTTTCCTCCATCACCTCACTACCAAAAAGCCACTACAAATACCTGTCAGATGTCTGTTGTAAGCCCCCTGCTTCTCTGTAATCTCTGTGAATGTTTCTTCCACACACTCACCCACATCCAGTACTGGCAGTCCCAAACTTACTTTAAATTTACTCTTTCCTCCTTTTATTCTCCATCTGTCCTTCCATGAGCAACGCCATATCTCAAACACACCCTAAGAGCTGCACTTCCACTCTGCACCAAGTGCCTTTCACCTACCTGCTGCAGTTACCCAAATCACCATCTTTTACCAAGGCTGCATTTCTAGCCTTAGTTTCCTTCAGCTCTTACCCCACAGACCATTATCTCGTGTTCATTCCCACAAGCCTCCTCCCACACACACTCCTCCCTGTGATGACACTTGACTTCATTTCTGTACCACAATTACTTCCCCTTTTCTGCTGACGACTCTACCAAGGTCCAGCTGTGCTAAGTCAGCTCAACCCAAAGCAAAGTGAGGTGACACCAACTGACACACTCCTTCACCAAGAGGAGTCATAAAGTCCAAAAGGTGAACCTGAGTCATCAGAATCCCTTCCTCACAACACTCCCTCTGCTCAGCCTCCCAGTGGTTCTTTTCCATAAGAAATCCCCTTTATTTACTCTTGTAAGACTTACTTGATCCATTCAAACTAAATACTTAATTTCTCACTGGGAAAGACCCTCTCCTAAGGGTCTTTTTTCACGTTAACCCTCATTCCTTCTTATTTCATCTAAATTGCAGTGAGTCAGAAGAATATACCTTCTCATTATGGTTACATTATTAACAGCCATTTCAGTAATGCCCTAACCACAGCTAGACTGTAACAGTGACCATGGATGTGTTCACACCAGGAATGAAGCCACTGGGATGGCTACTGAAGGCCAGCACAGTCACACTGCACAGTGGTACCCCTGCAGACCTGGGGAGCAGCTCCGAGGTGCAGCCCCAGCGCTGAGTCCTCACCTGAGCAGAGCTGTTCGATCTTTGTCAGTGTCAGCTGCAGAGACTCATTGATCCAGGCCAGCATGTCATGTCGACTCAAGTTCTCGATGGTCACTGAAGTAGAATACACATTCACTGCCATTTTCTGGAAGACACAACCAGAGGCGTTAGTACCACAGACGTTATCGCCAAACGTTCCCACGGCTCCTGTCGAGACAGGCCTGACCCAGCAGCACAGGAGACGCTGTGCGGCGGCTGCTAACAGCTGGGGTGACCTCGTGGTTGGGGCTTTCTGAAGACCCATTAACACCATCAACACTCCTGTGGCAGCGCTGACGACGGCACTCGCTGCCGGTGTCCATCCCGCTCACCGGGCGCGGACCCAACGCTTCCTGCTCGGCCCCGGTTATCGCTCTCTCCAGAGCGCAGCACCAAGGGGCCGGTCCCGCCCAGCCCCGCCAGCACAAAGCGGAGCCGCTCGCTCGCCGCCGAGCCTCCGGTGCAGCTGCCGCCAGGCAGGGCCGACCGCGCCGCGCGCCGCACGCCCCCGCCACGGGCGGGGCACGGCCCGCCCCCCCCCCCACACCGCCGCCCGCAGCGCTCTCCGCCACAGCCGCGCCGGGCGCTGGCTCCGCCGCCGGGCCCCCGAACCCCCGCACCCGCGGAGGGGCGCGGCCGGGCCCTGCAGGCCTCGCGCCGATCTCCTCACTGCCCGCAGGGCCCGGCTCGCCGCCACCCGCCCGCTGCGCCCGCTCCCCGAGCCCGGATCCGCGCCGGGCCCCGCCGCCAGCCCGCCCCGGGCCCGCAGCCGCCCCCCGCCGCGGCCCGGCCCGTTACCTGCGCCGCTCTCGCCCCGTCTCCTGCGCGTTCAAACCGGCCCCGCCCGCCTGCCCGGGGACCACGTCACTCGCACGCTACGCGCTTACGTCACGCGCGCGTCACGGCCGTCGCAGCGAGCGCCTCTCACCAGCGCGGGACGGAACCGGGCCGAGGCGGTTGCTAAGGGGCGGGGACACCCGCCGCGTCTCTAAGGCGAGGCTCCGCCCATCCCTCCACGGATTCGCTTGCGATTGGCTGTGCCGCTAGCCCCGCCCACAAGTACCGCTTCCCGCGTGCCCGTGGCGTCTCCCACGGCTCCGGTCCGAGGAGCCGCGGTCCGGTCCCGCACAGCCCAGCCCGACCCCGACCCCGACCCGTCTATGCCCCGATGTCACCCATCTGGTTCCCACATCCCACCCATCACTTCCGGGGCAGCAGGGAAGGGGCGCCCATCTCTATGTGAAGCCCCGTGATCTCCACACACAAACCTGCCAGTGAAGGACAGTCCGGTCATACAGAAATACCAATCTATAATTAAACGGCAAAAAACAGTTGATGTGGATCCCCTTTTCTCCCCCACCCCAAACCCGGCGGTACCGTGTGGACACAGGTCTGAGCTCTCACGCTCCTGGGTACAAAGAGAGACACAAAATGTGCTCAGCAAAACGATGCACTTCTTTTATTTGTAAAAGATTGTATAAAAACCCGCACGAATTTCAACATCAACAGTCCTTAACCTAAAAAAATAGCACCAGGGAGAGTTAGAAACCTTTACAAAAGTGTTAAAAATTCATTTCTGAATCTACCTCTCCTTACAACATCTTATAAACACGTAATAAAAGGCAGCTCTTACAGGGAAAACCATTTCAAGGAAGACTTGTCTACTACAATTCTTATCAAGTAAGCTTAATGCCAAGACAATTCTCATCCCTCTTTTATCTTTGTGTAAATTCCCCGAGTCCTTTTTTTCCCTCATCTATTTATTTTTCTTTTGATCAGATAAGGAAGGGATGTGAGACCTGGAGCATGAAATCAGAGATGCTGGGGAGCGGAGGTTACGTGCCAGCCCCGTTTGGAAACATAAAACCCATCAGAGGATCCCAAAGCAGAGGGTGGCTGTGACCCTGTGGCTCCACATCGGGCTTTGGCTGGGGCTGGGCACATGAGTTAGTGTTCTGTCAAGGGTCCAGGCTGGGTGCCAGAGGCTGCAGATGGGTTCAAAGCTGGTAGTGGCGATGCTGGGGCTTCCCCAGCACCCCCAGCATCCACCCCATCATCTTCCAGGGGGGCTGGTGACAAAGGAGGTGAGCGGTGCTACTCATTCCTGAGCTCAAACACATCACCAAGAACAACCCCCATGGGAAGACTTTAAAGAGTGACCTCTGGGCAGGACCAAGTGAGAAAACCTTTCAGCTCCCTGGGCTTCCCTTCCTGCCCATTCCCGAGTGCAGCCTTGGGCAGGAGACCCAGAGAAGATGGTCCTCAAAGCCCAGGGTGGAAAGCGGCACAGAAGAGTGGAAAGTGAGAGGCTCCCTCCTCCAAGGAGGCTGCCATCCTCCACCACCCATGAGAGGGGTGAGGAAGGCCCCCATGTGTCAGAGAGGTAGAAGGAGCTGGGAGAGAAGCTCTCATTCCCCACTGGTGCTGTACGGCACCTCATGAAGCAGCTTGGCCCGTGGTTTGGATATGATTCACTTTGAGAAGGCACCAAAGGATGCTGCGGACAGGGTGTAGTGAACAGCAGAGGTAGGGGAGGACAGAGGGACAATGGGGGACACCACGAGTTGTTTCAGTGCATTGAAATGTGCATTGGAGTTAAGGGGGCTACGGAAAACCTGGCACAAGTGGGACGGGGTCCCTGGGACTTCACGGACAGCGGGAAATCACCCCAGCAAAGTCAGGGAGCAGGAGGGCAATAAAGTGAGCACAGTGGTGGCTGCAGGAGCTTCTGGTGCAGCCCCAGGCTGGGCACAGAAGCATGAAAGCATCCCTGTGCATGGGGAGATGGGTGAGCAGGGAAGGAGAGAGGTAGAGCAGAGCCCTGCCTGCGGACACAGGACCTGCCCCAGCACCAGCACCCGCAGTGGGGGGACACCACAGCCCCAGCCACAGCAGCTTTCCCACCTTGCTGCCCATGGAGCGGGATGAGCGCGGGTGGGACCGGTGCTGTGCTCCGGGACCCTGCAACCCCACTGGGGTGCGGTGGGACCTTCCCTGCCAGGAAGCTCCTGCACCACAGCCAGCACGCTCCCAATACTGCTCGGCTTCACAACACGTGGGGGCTGCAGCTTGAGGACCACACTGACCCCTGCACTGCCCTTCCACCACATTCACTGCGGATAACGGATGCTCAAGAGAACATTTTCCTTTATGGACACTGGAGCTCAAATCCTCCCTGCTCCAATTCCTGTGTAAGCTTGCAAACCACTCAGCAGGATTCTTAAAATGGAAGGGAAAGTTTGTAGATGCTTTAAAAAGGAAGTAGTGAGTATTTGTAAACTACAGCCAAACGTATAAAACCGTATTCCTTTAGTTCTAGCTAGAAAAGTAATTCTATCATCTCACAGTTCAGTTTCAGCTACATTCAGGTCTAGGAATCTCCACATTCATATGTAATGCCTTAAAGCAGCAATAGACATTAAACAACACAAAAGTTTATCAAAAAAGGACAATAAAACCCATTTGGTGTGTGTATCCTGCATGTTCAGTGTATGTACCTGAGCAGGGTCCCTTACACCTCCTGCCGCAGCCGGGGGGCTTTGGCAGTTGCTTCAGGAGAGGTTTTGTTTGGTCAGAAGCAGGAACTCGCTGCAGTTCACATCTGCCCGCAGCGCCTCGGCTGCTGCCTCCGTGCTCACTGCAAGGTTGTGACTTTCAGCTAAACCGTGGTATTTAATGCTCTGGAGGAGACTTCCCATGGTCTCAGCCATGCAGAGCTTCCTGCGCTGGGCAATTAAAGCTCTTTTGTCCGTGTTTTCTATCACTGCCATCAGTCCCTTTCAAGAACAGTTACCCTGCCAGGTTCTTTGGTTAAAGACATTTCCTCGGCTCTCCCTGCGGGGCCAGGCTGCCTCCCTGCAGGAGGGAAGAGCAGGGCTGGGCCCGTCCCTCTCCCGCCTCCAGCCGAGCTGTGCATCTTTACCAGAGAGACGAGGGCTGCTCGGCTGGCTATTCGCAGGCAAAGTAATCCTTGAGCGGGGAGAAGAGGTGCTGGATGACCGGGACGCTCCACGACCGCAGCAGCTTCTGGCGAGCACCGCGGCCCATGGTGGAGACGTCCGTGTAGTGGAGGGGGAAGCCGAAGATCCTGTGGAGCAGAGCAGAGGGTGGGTGAGCTTTGGTGACTGTGCGGGTGCCCATCAGATGCAGCCAGGACACCGCATCTCTGTCCCATCTGCATCCATCCCTGCATCCCTGGAGCCCCAGCCTGTGTTTTAGTCTTGCTCAGCCGAAGCTCCTCAGCAGTGTGGCAGTGCTCCCCACCAGCTCTGGTTTCCTTTCCCAGAGTGCCAGCAAGCGAATGTGCATCGCTTCCCACCCAAAGCATCTGGCAAAGGTGACGCAGTCTTTCCTGCTCTGCCCAGAGCCAGAGGCACTTGCCCAGGGGCAGCAGAGCAGAGCCCACACCTGCAGCCCCGCTCCCACGGCCACAGACAAACCACCCCTCGTGTATCCGTGCAAGCACATCTGCCTGGGCACAGAAGCACTGCCATCCAGGAGCTGCCCCAGGGCCCCAGCCCACCACCACCAGTGCACCCAGTGGCTGATGCCCCTGGGAACACACCCCAGCAGAGCTCCCAGTTGGAGGGAGGTGCTGGCAGGGGCTGGGACCCCCTGTGCGGGCTCCATTTTAAAGCTGGATTAGGAGGAATAAAAGGAAAAGCAAACCCAAGAGCCCCCAGCAATCTCCAGCCAGGAACCAGCACCCAGCATGGGGAGCAAAAAGCAAACGCTAAAGACAATGGGAAATTCCTCCTCCCAGCTCCACGGCCGTGTCCTCACGCAGCCTCTCTGCCGTGGCTGAGGTCAGTACAACGCTGGCCCAGGAGCCACACCGAGCCATGGACTCACACCTCTGCCCACTCTGCTCAGCAAGGCACCTCCACGAGCATCGCCTCGGGACAGATCCCAGAGACAGCCCATCCGCAGGCCTCCATCAGAGGAAGGCTCCCCAAGTGCCATTTCACATGACAAAGCCTCAGTAATTGCTATTTCACTTTCAAATTCCTGCGTGCCTCTCCCTCAGCTTCAATGAGTTTGAACTCCAAGAAATACGGGCAATTTAAATACAAACAATCCAGAGTATTTCAACCCCATCTCTTCACTGGCTGAGGCATTCCCTGGTGAGATCTCCAGGTTTTGTTGCTAGGAGTACCTGGTGCACAGGACCGGTAGCAATAGGATTCTACTCTACCCCAAGTCCTCCTGCTGTGTTTTACCACGAATTCAGGGTGCTATCGAGGTGCGCACAAAGCCTGGAGGAGCTTCCCTCAGGCACCACACCAGACTGAGCAGCCCTGGCCAAGGAGGCTGCTGGGGTTCATCCCCTGCCCCTGCAAACCCCACACAGCACTCGCTGGGCATGGGGCTGCCCTACAGCACCCCCACGTTAGCCTGCATCTTAAACAAAGGCTGGAGGATGTGTACATCATGTATAACCCCAAGCTAAACACACCACACAGCATCCTGCGCTGACCCCGTCACTCTTCCCTCCACAGGCTCCAGGTCCAGGGCAGAGGATGCTGCTGCTTTTCCCAGTCTCATCCCTGCTCATTAACAAGCACATTATCATGTGCACATCACTGCAGGGAACTGCACCATACGGGAACTGCAGCTCTTCAGCTCCCAGGAGCTGGGCTCAGGGCCAAGGAGGGAAGAACCACACAAGCACCATGAAACAGAGCAAAGCTGCAGTGAGAGATTCAAAGGGACAGCGAAGGGTTCGTTACCTGTTCATGCCTGGAAGGTTACCCCAGAAATAGCGCGCTCGGTGGGCAGCTGATATCTTGATAGCATCGATCATAACTGGGTTACACTGTAAAAGACATGCAAAAATCACGGTTAGAGGAATGATTCACCAGTGCTGGGGTCATCCTGCTGCAAGCCCCAGGAGACCCAGAGCCAAGGATGAAGACTTGATTCCTGGGGTGCGCATCAGGCAGGGGCCGCATGAAT